CGCTGCCCCGGTGGTGGCCCACGGCCCGCCGGCTGCCCGTGGTCAAGCTGGAGTCGCTGAAGCGCTGGAACGAAGAGAGGGGCCTGTGGTGCGAGAAGGGCGTGCAGGTGCTGCTGACCACGGTGGGCGCCTTCGCCGCCTTCGGCGAAAAGAAGGACCCGGGCGGCCTCACGCACTCGGGCCTCTGGCGCATCTGCTGCCTGGAAGGTAGGGCGCGACGCCTCCTCCGGGCAGTCGCCCCTGCGCTGCCCTGCCGGCCTGGCGCCCTCTTCCCCGCTCCTCCCTCCTCCTCTCCCACCCTGGCCTCCCACCGCCCTCCCTCCACTCCTGCCCGCCCTCTCTGGGACTCCCTCGCTGCTCCGGCCTGCCCCTCTTTATTTTGACCCTGCTGCTCTGGAGCCGCCTCCTGGCCCCTGGCAAGCTCTCTTCTGAGTTTCCACTTCATCCAATTCATCCTTCAAATCCCTGCCCTGGCCCAGTCCCCCCCCCCCATGCCCCACCATCTCCTCTGCCTCCCCCAGCTCTCATGCTCTCCCCTGCCTGTGTCCCACCCTCCTGTCTCCCAGGCCGCTACCTGCCCTCATGTTCTCCATCCGGGCTCTTCCCTGCCTTCCTGGCCTTTCTCCTTTCCCAGCTGGCCCGACCTCCTCCCCTCCTCGGCCTTCTTCCTCCTTCTGGGCCTCATCTGTTGACCGTCCCCGCCGCTATCTCGCTGTCTCGCTGTCTCCTCCATCATGGCTTGTGCAGCGTGGGGTGGGGCCAGGACCAGAGCTCCCCTCTTCTCTTCGTCCCTCTCCCCCCATGCCCCTTTCTCCTCTGTTTGGCTGGCACAAATGCCATTCTACTGTTAGTCCTATGGGGTGTCACCTCCCTGTGAGGGAGGAGGAGGCTGAGGCTGGAGAGGTTAAGCCATCTGCCTGAGGAGGCCCAGCTCTGAAAGGGGCAGAGTGGAGAACTCGGGTCTGCCGATGGGATCTGCAGATCATTCCGCCCAGTGTGCGGAGTGTTAAAACCGAAACCAGATCTGAATAGTTGCCAACATTTAAAAATAGGGAGCCTTTGCACTGAGGATCAAGTCCCCGCTTCCTCTGAGCTCACAGATCTCACGGCGAGAGCCGGTGGTCCTCGGATCTGAGAAGCAGCTGCTTCCAGGAGCAGGTGGAGGGCTCGTCTCCCCAATCACCTCCACTCCCTCTCGCCTCTCGTCCCACCATTCCTCCTCATGTTACTCTCCCTCCTGGCCAGCCCCTGGTCAGTCTGAGTGCTAGCACAGAGCCAGGCGCCAGGGCTTGCAGCAGGAAAGGCCTAGGACAGTTTGCGACAAGCGCTAAGAATCCCGTCCACTGGGACCAGCAGAGGGCGTAATGGTTGCCTCACTGGACTCCCACATACTCCACTGCGGCTCGAGTCCTGGACCTGGTTGCTTAAAACGCCGGGTGCGTGTGTGTGTGTGTGTGTGCCCAAGATCCCGAGAGGGGAATGGGGGGGAAGGGATTGTGGCGTGGCCATCCCCCCTGGGGGGGTTCTCACTTTCTGTCTCTTTGTCTCTCTAGGACGCACACATACCCTATAGCAAAAATCTCTCTTAAGAAAAGGGAAAAGAATCCTATTCACTCTTTCACTGGATGACCAGTTTTACTGAGCTGATACTGTGTGCCAAGTGCCATTCATAATTCCGGAGCTGCAGCGGGAGCAGGCCCAATCCCTGCCCTTAGGCCTCTCATTTCTGGGCGGAGAGACGGCACTAACAAACGAATGCATGTAAAACATTTAGGGCATTAGGTCGAACTGGGCGCGGGCAGGGGCCTCGTGTGGGCTGGGTGTGGGGGGGCCGGGAGGCAGGTGGCGTCTGAGGTGGCCGAAGGAACGAGAGGACGTGTGCCCCTCTGGAGGAAGGCGGCTGGGCTGCGTGGAGGGCAGACACGGAGCCTGGGCAGGGCGCGCAGGGGG